CTCTGAAGTTAATTACAGAAACCCAACAATTCCCACCATGAGCAAGCACTAGGCGACACAGGCAAGGAAAAACTTCCTTTTAACAGGCAGAAACCTCGAGCAGAACCATGGCTCAGGGTGGGCGGCCATCTGCCTCGGTATCGAGTTGAACATTTTAGTATTGTGACAACCCTACTCGGTAATGCCGGTTCCTTGAAACGCCAGGCTTTCCCGAATGTCTTTGTAGCTCATTCCCATCCTAAAATAAAATTCTATCATACTGTCCCTTTCCATTGTGGAGCTTTAGCCTCTCTAATGCCTCTCCTTGCTTCGTCCTCACCCCTTGGTGCCTTTTCTCCCCAGAGAGAGGCTCCGGACGCACAGCATCGAGTCCTCCGGGAAGCTGAAGATCTCCCCGGAGCAGCACTGGGATTTCACGGCCGAGGACCTGAAGGACCTGGGCGAGATCGGCCGGGGCGCCTACGGCTCCGTCAACAAGATGGTGCACAAGCCCAGCAACCAGATCATGGCGGTCAAGGTGAGGGGTTGGGTCTGAGGGGGGATAGGGTTGTCAAAAGTATGGATACTCAAGAAAGTATGGATACTAAAACGTATCCGGATACGATACTCATTTTCAAAAGTATCGATACCACCACCCCCACGCCCCTTCTCTGTGATTTATTTATTTATTGGCTAATGATAACACACCAACATTAATCAAGTCTGCAGGAAGCCAAAGATGGATATCCAACTCCGTCCACATCCAAGTCGGCCATTTTGATTAGGTCACCAATAGGAAGATCCCAGACAAGATAATCCTAATTACTTCATGGCAATATAGACATTAATTTAAAAATAGTGAAATTAGTCTTGAAAACACTGAATTAAACTCCATAATCCATAATATTATGTTAAAATAGTGGATGTTAAATAGGTTTGTACAATAAGTCCAAACAACTTTAACCAAAAAATATTTATTTCTCACAATTATGAAGGGTGGAGGTTAGGGTTAGGTTTAGGGTCAGGGTCAGGGTTAGGTTTAGGGTTAGGATTAGGGTTAGGTTTAGGGTCAGGTTTAGGATTAGGGTTAGGATTAGAGTCAGGGTTAGAGTCAGGGTCATTAATGTGGGCCACCAGCCACGAAAACATCAGTAACAGTTCAGTTTGAAACCAAAGACACTAACTTGTCCAAACTCAGTTAAATTTGGGGGTGTTTGTTTTTATCCTTGTGGTATTGAAAATGGTATTGAGTATCGAATATTTTCCTGAGTACCGGTATCGAGTTGAACACAGACAAACCGTTGTCTTTCAGAGGATCCGCTCCACGGTGGACGAGAAGGAGCAGAAGCAGCTGCTGATGGACCTGGACGTGGTCATGAGGAGCAGCGACTGCCCTTACATCGTGCAGTTTTACGGCGCTCTGTTCAGAGAGGTGAGAGGCGGCGGGAAAACGAAAAAAATGGCCGCCTCCGTCTGGTCGGAGGGGTTTCCGCTGCTTGACGAGTTTCCTTGTGTTTCAGGGGGACTGCTGGATTTGTATGGAACTTATGGCTACCTCCTTAGACAAGTTTTACAAGTTTGTATATTGCTCATTAGACGAGGTGATTCCAGAGGAAATATTAGGAAGAATAACTCTAGCTGTAAGTGTTTATTAAACCTACTTTGCTTTTTTTTCCCCCACTAATTTTTTTCCAGTTTTTTACCACTGGCTTTTAGCACTGACCCCCTCTTTATTTGTTTTTCTGCAGACTGTGAAGGCACTTAACCACTTAAAAGAAAACTTGAAAATAATACACCGAGGTAAGAAGGTTTGACCCCCTGACCCGGATCCATAGCAGGTTTTGTTTCTCACCGGGTCTGTGTCCCCGCTCAGACATCAAGCCGTCAAACATCCTCCTGGACCGGAACGGCAACATAAAGCTGTGCGACTTCGGGATCAGCGGTCAGCTCGTGGACTCGATCGCCAAGACCCGGGATGCGGGCTGCCGGCCCTACATGGCGGTGAGTGACGCAGTTCTCAGATTTCCACAGATGTTTTTGCCAAATCTGTATGTTTTTGGCAAATCTGGCTGTTTTTGCAGAACGTTTTAAGCATTTTCGGATAATTTATTCTGTTGAATTCAAGATTATTTGGTCCATTTTCCCCGCCAAAGTTTTTTATATTTGTGTCATTGGCTGGCCAAAATGAGCCCAAAGCATGATGCACCCACCTCCGTGCTTAAGAGCTGGAGATGTCAGACTCTCGTCAGAAAGACATGAAGCAGGTTTAGCTGTTTGTTTGCTGATTTCTGGTGCGACAGAGTGGATGAGGGGGCGGTGAGTCATATCTCTAAGAGCTAGAACCAAGTGTTAGCCACAAAGAGGCCGTCAGGTGATGTTTTTTTATCCGACTCTGTGCAGTTGAGAGTTGAGGATTCATCAGCCGGTCACGAATTCGTTGAGTAATTTGAATGTCGAAGTTCTGCTCAGACACAAATGACTCAGTTCTGCCTGCTGTGACACCTGATTCAGTAAAACGGTGACCAGACTCACCTGACGCACGGCAACGAGCGAAACCGACCACGACCTGTGAAGAAACTCAGGATGTGGTCGGAGGCCTTTTCTGTTGCCCTACTTTCCGTTTTCCCACACGTCTTGGTGGGACCGATGAGCTGCTCATGAGCAGATTTGTACGGAGCCCCTCTGATGACACGGTCACGCAATAAGTATAACCGTGATCCTTCCCAGGACCTTGCAGTTGTTCAACAATGAAATCTATCCCGGTGTACCTTCCCCGGTAAAGCAACCTGGCTCTGAATATCCTGTTTAAATGTTTCTTTTAAATGTTCCTTGCAACACCAGGCTTTTCCGAATGTCTTTGTAGCTCATTCCCATCCTAAAATAAAATTCTACCATACTGTCCCTTTCCATCGTGGAGCTTTAGCCTCTCTAATGCCTCTACCTCACATCTTAGAGAAGGAGCGCTCCATTTGCTTACCCAGTTGTCCGGGAATGATATTGATTTTATTGGTAAGTATTTTTATAAAATACTCCTTCATGGCCACAATTAATTACCTTTTACCATGTCATCAGAGGGGCTCCGTAGATTTGACTCAGAAGTAAATCCCCGAACCCATGAAGGAAGCTCAGTGGGGGTGGGGGGTGTTTCTCAGCTAGCAGGCGGGCGGCTTTAGCTGATAAGAAGTGATCTCATCACGGCGTCATCACCTGAGGTTATTTTTCTGTTTTTCTGTGGCGGCGTGGCGTCAGCCTCCCTCTCCTCCCGGCAGTTTCCATTTTCTAAATTTGGTCCCAGCCTCCCGTCACCTGCACCACGCCCTCCCGAAGGCCCCCCCCCCCCCAAGGAGCTCCCCACGCCTGTGAGCTCAGGCTGCTGGAATCTCTGCACCCGTTTCTGGTTTCCAGCTGGCACTCACACCAGGTGTGCTCAGCTGAGCT